CCCTCCCCCTCCCCCTCCCCCCTCCCCTCCGACGCCCCTAACCCGCGTCCGACACTTCTTATGACGCGAATGAGAGGCGGTTCGGGGCAGTGATTACAAGCGAGGGGGAAGAACACTGATGGATGCCCGTGTCGAGAGGTCTTCGGAGGTGCGGGCTGAATGGGGGCTTCTGGGTCTGGTGGGCCGGAATCTGGGCGAGGTGGGGGGCGGTGAGGGGGGTCTTAAGGGGTGGTGGGGTGGTGGGGTGGTGGTGGAGGTAGGGGGTGGTGGGGTGAGGGGGGGAGGAAAGGGTTTGGAGGATTTGGATATTGGGTGGGGGGGATTATGTGGTGGTGGGGGGTGGGGCGGATGTGATGTGTGTGTGTGTGGGTGTGTGTGTGTGTGTGGTGTGTGTGTGTGTGTGTGTGTGTGTGTGTGTGTTTTGTTATACTTGATGAGAATGAGAGGAGAGGGAGAAGATGAAATGACAGGAGAGGAAGAGGTAAAACGAAAAGGAGAAAGAAAGGTGATGGTGACGGAGATGAGAACAGGAAGAGAGGAGAGGAGAGAGGAGAAAACCGGAAGAGAGTCAGACAAAACAATACTAAAGTTATTATTAAGTAAGTTATTACTATTCTTCCGGCATCTCAACTCTCAGCCCAAAAAGCCACGATGACTGAACAAACACCCTTTGCCTTATTTGGAGGTTTTGCAACACAATTTGAAACCCTAGTGCCACCCCAACCACAGCGAAAACACACACTGTATAACGGCTGTGTTGTGCCATTATGGCCACTGTCCAGACATAAGCTTGGGTTTCGTACATTGGGATTTCTGGAGGTGTCCTCTTGCACTACCCTGAGGAGGAGGAGGGGGGAGGTGAGGAGGAGGAGGAGGAGAGGAGGAGAGGGGATGGTGAGGAGGAGGGAGAGGAGGAGGAGGAGGAGGGGGAGGAGAGGAGGAGGAGGAGGAGGGGAGGAGAGGAGGGGGGAGAGGAGGGAGGAGGGGGAGGAGAGGAGGAGGAGGAGGAGGAGGAGGGGAGGGGAGGAGAGGAGGAGGAGGAGGAGGAGGAGGAGGAAGGAAGAAGAAGAGAAGAAAGAAGAAGAAGAAGAAGAAGAAGAGAAGAAGAGAAGAAGAAGAAGAAGAGAGAAGAAAGAAAAGAAGAGAAGGAAGAAAAGTGTTAGGGGTAGGGGTTAGGAAAGAGGAAGAAGAAGAAAAAATAAAGAGAATAAGGAAAGGAAAAGAGGAGGAGAGTAAAAAGAAAATGGGACAACTGCAACAGTAAAGAAAAGATGAAGAATGCGAAGCAGGAGGAAGAAGGAAATGTGAAGGAAGACAGCAAACAGAAGTGAAAGAGTTGAGTCACGAATGGGTCCAATGTCATTATCCCACGCTGTAACTTTCTGCTGCGGTAGAGGCGCGGACTGTAAAGATTGGGGGCGCCGTATGTGCCGGATTCGAGTTTCCGTCGCGTCTCCGATTCGGGAGGGATTCGGGGATTGGCTTGTCCCGAATCCACCGCGGAGACTTGACGGAATGGGAGGAGATAACAGACAGTGAGAGGTAACAGACAGCAGGAGTAGATTGGTTGCGGGTCAAGACAATCCTTCGCTTAAAAAGGGCAGGGAAATTCTTCATTCATGAGCGATAGACAGGTCATCAGGACAGGGCACTCGGTCCCTTGGTCGCCACCTTGGTCTCGTTGTCGTTGCAGAGTTCGGAGAGAAACTTGGTGGGAAGCAATCTGTTAAGAAAGGATGGTTAGGGAAGTATAAAAAGATTGGGGAATAGGGGGGAGGGAAGGATAAAGTAAACGAATATTTAGTAAAAGAGACAGAGAGAGACAGAAAGAGAGAGAAAAAGAAAGAAAGAGAGAGAGAGAGAGAGAGAGAGATCCGTTGGCCTGAGTCGCAAAGAAAGCAAATGCTGGAAAGAAAGGGGGATTATGAAGATTAGGGGAAAGAAGGGAAGGAGGAGAAAGATGGATGAGAAGAATCTCTAGGAGACGTTGCAAGGAAAAGATATTTTTTTAGATTAAAGAAAGAGAAGAGAAAGAGTCAAAAAGGATGATGATTGGGGAAGAAAGGAGGATGAGCGGGGAGAGGATGGAAGGAGAAATAGACGGAGAAGGATGAAGACTGGAGGGAGAGAGAAAGAGAAGGATAGGAACGATTTTCTTTTCTAAGAGAGAGAGAGAGAGAGAGGAGAGAGAGAGAGAGAGAGAGAGAGAGGAGAGAGAGAGAGAGAGAGAGAGAGAGAGAGAGAGAAGAGAGAGAGAGAGAGAGAGAGAAGGAGAGAGAGAGGACAGAGAGGAGAGAGGACAGAGAGAGAGAGAGAGAGAGAGGAAGAGAGAGAGAGAGAGAAGACGAGAGAGACCGGAGACCGAGAGACCGAGAGACCGAGAGAGAGAGAGAGAGCGAGCGTCGGGGCTTAAGCCAGCCCGCAGGTTTCCCACGCTACAGTCCGCGTTCCCAGGCGAGACGGTACCCGACGTCACCCGCGCGACCGACCTGCCCGGAGTGACCTGTTCGACCCGTTTCCGAGCGACTCGTCCGATCGACCCTAGTTGCGAGGCTTATTTTCGAGGGTCGTTGGGAGGGTTTCGAGAGGGGTGGAGGAGGAGGAGGAGGGGGAGGAGAGGGGTTGTGGGGGTGAGGGTAGAGTCTGATTGATTTGCATTTCGGGTGGAGGGGAGGGAGGGGAGGGGAGAGGGGGGGGGGTTCTCTTGGAAGGTTGGTTTTAATTTCTGGAATGAGGTGGATGGGGTTCATTTTATTTTATTTATTTTTGGTCTTTAAGTTTTTTTTTTTATTTTTTTTTTATATCTAAAGGGTTAAGAGATATGTTTTTTTTTAAGTATAAGAGGTTGTAATATTTCCTTGATAATTCCTAGACTGAAAATACATACGACTTCGCTTTTGGTTAGGAAGGAGGGAAGAGGGAAGAGGAAAGAGGGAGAGGATAAAGAAGAGAAGGTGGAGGAGAGGTGGAGGAGAAGGAGGAGGTTGAGGAAGGGAAGGAACTAGTGACCGATAGTTGATGAGGATAAGGATGGGTAGAGGGAAAGGGAAGAGGTGGAAGAGGAAATGAAAGGAAGGAGATTAAGGACCTGGAGGAGTAGGTAATTGGGGTGAGGACGAGAGGACGAGGGGAAGGACCTAAAGGATCTCGAGGAAGGAGGAAGAGGAGGAGGAGGAGGAGGAAGATCGACAAAGAAGTAGAGGAGGCAAAAAGTGAGAGAAACGGGGATGAAGAAAGAAGGAGCCAGAAGGCCTAGAGGATGAGAATGAAGAGGAAGGATATGAGGAGGAAGGAGATAATGGTGATGATGAGGGAGAGGAGGGGAGGATAAGGAGGAGGAGAGGAGGAGGGAGGGAGGGTGGTGTGGATTATTCGCACCTGAGCCGCGGATATTTACGCGCCGCAGAACAGCATATTTCAAGCGATTATTACAGTTATTATTCTCAACTTTCCGTCGCACTCCACACACAAAAAAAACGTAAACTTTCAGAGGCTTTTAGGATAAGTGAACTTTTAAGGGGTAAACACCTCGCCTTGACAGATATTCGTGGATGTGAAGTTCGTATCTTTTCCCCCACCGCGTCGCTCGGCTCGTGAACATCTGTAGGGACTGACCACACCTGCGCAGACTCGGTGCGCGCGGGGAACACCTGTGCCACGACCCTAACGAAGGTGGAGGTCGGGTCAGCTGATCGTTTTAAGGGCGGAGTGGTTGATCGGTTGGGCGGAATGAAGTTGAAAGCAAATCACTAATCCGTAGAAAAAAGGTGCGATGGATTTAGAAGTATGAAGAGGAGGATGGAGGGGAGGGGAAGAAGAAGAAGAAGAAGAAGATTAAGAGGAAGACGAAGAACAACAACAACAAGAGAAAAGAAAAATGAAGTAATTAAGGAAAAGGAAATGAGGAGGAGGAGGAGGAGGAGTAAAATCAAATAGAACAAATACAACATCAAAAGAAAGACGAAGAAATGCGAAGCAGGAAGAAGAAGGAAATCAAGGAAAACCAGCAAATAGAAATAAAAGATAAAAATACTCTAAAAAAACAAACAAACCAAGTGTTATTGACCAGATTAATGTCTCTTCACGTCCTCCTGACAGACGCTAAGCTGCGTGTTATCCTTGAGAAATAAGTTTCGTGGACGTCGGGATAGGCCTATGCCGGAGACCGCGAGAGATCATGTCACTCAGACGGAGGCAGAGATTCGAAATGTATTAAGAGGGAATTTGACGACGCGCCGGCTGGCTCACCTGGTGGCTGCGGCCCTGCGATGGGCTCGGGGATTTTTTTTTCATTTGTTGGTGTTTATTTTTGGGAACGTTGCATCGTCGTTAGTGTTAGCATTTACACACACGCACACTCACTCACTCACTCACTCACTCACTCACTCACTCACTCACTCACTCACTCACTCACTCACTCACTCACTCACTCTCTCTCTCTCTCTCTCTCTCTCTCTCTCTCTCTCTCTCTCTCTCTCTCTCTCTCTCTCTCTCTCTCTCTCTCTCTCTCTCTCTCTCTCTCACACACACACACACACACACATTGCTGTCTGCGCATGACAGTTTATCGATCCCTTCATATTTGGTTCTCTGCTCTTGGTTCGTCTTTTAGCCTTCCTCATTTTTCTTTTACTATCTCCTATATTTATTGATATTCATCTGTCATCATCATCATTTCCTCTATTCCTTATTTATTCTAAAATCTCACTAATTTGTCACGAAGGAGATAGCAATAGAATTTTATTAATGTTCTTATATTTTTTTCTATCTATGTATCTTTTATTAGTTTTGACGATTGACCTGACCTTAGAATTTAATTAAGGTCTTTTTATTATTTTATCTATGTATCTTTATTCGTTTTGATGATTGACCTGACCTTAGAATTTAATTAAGTATTTTATTCTTTTATCTATGTATCTTTTATTCGTTTTGTTGATTGACCTGACCTGACCTTTCCCCGTGACCCCGCCCACTGACCCTTGGCGTCCTTGTCGTTGCAGGTTCCACAGCTTCCGGCGGAGGGTCCAGAGGGTCGAGGGAATCCCGCGTCCTCACGTCTGCTCGAGCCTCTACGACCACAGGTGAGGAGGGAAGGAGGGAGGAAGGAGGGAAGGAGGGAAGGAGGGAGGGGGATGGGGGAAAGGGAGGGAGGGGGAGGGGATGGGAGGATGGGGATGGGGAGGGAAGGAGGGTGGGAGGAAGGAAGGGATGGGAGGAGAGGGATGAAGGAGGAGGGGAGGGGATGAGGGAGAAGGAGGAAGGTGGGAGGGAGGGGAGGGTGGAAGGGGATGGAGGAAGGAGAGGACGGGAGAGGAGAGAGGAAAGAGGAGAAAAGAGGAGAGGAGGGGAGAGGGCAGGTGAGGGGAGGGAGGAAGGAAAGGGTGAAGGGAGAGATGAGGATACGAATAAGGAGAGATGGAGATAGCAAGAGCGCTGGATAGAGAGGGAAAGAGAGGTTGGAAGAGAGATGGGGCGAGGGAGAAAGTGAGGCCACGGAAAGAAAGGGCGAGGGAGAGGATGAGAGTAAGGGTGGGTCAGGGAGTGGGAGAGGGAGAAAGGGAGGGATAGAAAAGGGAGAGATGGAGTTGTTGGTCAGAAAGGACTACTTTTGCAACGAGTGGAAAGAAAAACGATACGAGAAAAACGAAACAGAGAGAGAGAGAGAGAGAGAGAGAGAGAGAGAGAGAGAGAGAGGAGAGAGAGAGAGAGAGAGAGAGAGAGTGTGTGTGTGTGTGTGTGTGTGTGTGTGTGTGTGAGTTAAAGAGTTAGTTAGAGAGAGAGAGAGAGAGAGAGAGAGAGAGAGAGAGAGAGAATAGAGAGAGGAGAGAGAGAAAGAAAGAGAGAGAGAGAGAGAGAGAGAGAGAGAGAGAGAGAGAGAGAGAGAGAGAGAGAGAGAGAGAGAGAGAGAGAGAGAGAGAGAGAGAGAGAGAGAGAGAGAGAGAGAGAGAGAGAGAGAGACCGCAAATTAACATCAGATCGAATGTTAGCCCCACTTAACCACAATATATATATTTTTTTCGATTCTTTGGTTTTGCATTTCACTCCGCTCCATTATCCATCCTCATAGCGATGACCGAGTTAAAAGTCGGATAAAGTCTAGTTCACCCACGTCATTGCACAAGAAATATATGAGTTAGTGCAACTGTATCTTCTCTTGCAACACGAGCGGTTAGTCTATGGTCCTTCAACCCACGTTTATTTAAGGTTCTGCAACGGCTGACCTTGCGACCTTTCGGCTCGGTCTCGCTGTCTTGTTTACGTTGCGCTGTCGCTGGCTTTGTATTTTCTGCGGTTTTAGTTTTTTTTTCTGATTTTTTTTTTTGTCTTGTCTTGGTTTTGTGTTCTTGTGAGGATTTTTTTTCGTGGACTTCTTAATGTCAACTTTCTGTTGTTACTCTCTCTCTCTTTTTTCTCTCTTTCTCTCTTTCTTTCCGTCTCTCCTTCTTTCCGTCTCTCTCTCTCTCACTCTCACTCTCACTCTCACTCTCACTCTCACTCTCACTCTCACTCTCACTCTCTCTCTCTCTCTCTCTCTCTCTCTCCTTCTCTCTCTCTCTCTCTCTCTCTCTCTCTCTCTCTCTCTGTGTGTGTCTTTCTCTTTTCTTTTCTTTCATTCTTTCTTATATTCTTTCTTTCTAGCTCTCTTTCTTTCTAGTTCTCTTTCTTTCTAGCTCTCTTTCTTTCTAGCTCTCTTTCTTTCTTCTCTCTTTTTCTCTTGCCGCCTTAACTCTCCAAGTTCTATCACTTTTTCGTGTGTGTGTGTGTATGTGTGTGTGCGTGCGTGCGTTAAATTCATGCACATTTTTTTTGTAGGAAAAGTAATTAGTGATCACTTATGAGCCTGAATAATGAGTATTTTTATGAGGCTTTCGAATTTCGGAAACTTTCCTCGTAAAAGAGTTTTTTTCTTTTTTTTTTTCTTTTTCATTTCGGTTTTTGAAGAGCAGGAGGAGGAGTTTTGTATCGAACGTTTTTTTTTTTTGTAATTTGCATAATTCAGTATTGAATTTCGAAGCTGGTGGAAGAGCAATGAGAATAAAAAAAGGAAAAAAAATTGTGCTTTGTGAATAGATTATTTTTAAGGGGGACGTGGAGGTGGGGGGGGGAAGGGGGTAGGGGGATATAAGAGGGAAGTTGGGTGAATTGTGGATTTTTTTGTGGTATTTCTTCTATTAAAGTATCCTTTTAAGAGTCACATAAAACTCTTCACTTGGGTGTGTTTGTTAATGAACGTCATTAAGATTAATTCTTGCATATTTGAAAAAGAAAAAAAAATGTATTTGCTAACCATCATTTTCTTTATTGCCATAGCTCCTCCTGTTATTTTATTTTGTCATTTTATCTATTACTTCTCAGCCAAATTATTACATTCAAATTGTTATTCAAGTATTATCAGCTGTTTACTGGTGTTTTTGTCGTTAACCACTTATTCGTCAATAATATTTCCTATTTTTCATTATCAATTGTATAAACAAACTTTCCACCCACCTTTTATCACTACTTTATCTCTATATCATTGATTTCATTGTTAAATCAAGAGCTGTTTTTTATGATTATCATCGTATCGATTATCATCGTATCTCTCTTGCTTCCCCAGCGGAGAAGAAGAGGCAGGAGGCCGCCCCACCTCCAAGACGACCTCGCCTTGATAATATCAAGTCCACCATTCCCAAACCTGGCAGGCTTCCACCCAGGAAAGTAACAGGTGAGTACACAAGCAGATATACTTTTTCTATTATTATTCTGTATCCGAATTACATTTCGTTGCTATTAAGGTTTCGTATAGTTTTGTTGTTTTGGCAGGATAGTTAGTTCTGAGTAGTTTATCAATGCGTTTCTGTTCAAGAGAGATCGAAGTCGTACAGTGGATATGTAAAACAAAATGTTTGTGTTACCCCTTGAAGGTAGCCATATTCTTTGAATGCGCAGAGGTGACTTCATAGAAAACGTTTCCTTTGTCGAGGCATGGGGGACTTCTGTATTCTTTTTCTCGCAGACTAATTTAGATGGAAAGGGACCACTTCCTACATATAATTAAAACCATAAAGCTTTAAATTGGTCACTACGTGTTCTTGTATGAGGAAATGACATAAAATTAGCATTTTATTCGATGACTTTTACACATGTTTTATCAATGAGAACATTAGCAAATACGAACCACTATTAAATCAGAATGAATGTACACTCTTACAAAAGCGAACTGCGCCAAATATCAGTCCATTCTTTAACAAACAGAAGCAAACAGAAAACGAAAGAAAGCGGACAGGACCGGCGGCCGAAGAAGCCTCGGTGGGGAACCGTGCGGCCGCCGCATCCTGCTATTTTGCATAAAAAACATGACTTTCAAGTTTCGTGGATTCCTTTCTTCCTTCGTTCTTTCTTTCTTTCGCTTTTTTCTTCCTTTCTTCGCGAGGGAGGAGGATCGGAAGGGACGGTGATTCGCGCTAGGAAGGGAGAAGGATTTGGGAGGATTTAAAATTCTTCGATGATCGTGTTTGCAAATAAGACGAAGGATTGCTCGACGAAATTAGATGATTGGGAATGAGGTGATAATTCTTTGGAAAATGTTCGTTTTCCATGTCGAGCCTTAAATGTATGCGATATTCTACGAAATTCTTATATAACATCGGTGTTAGTTTTCCCTGTGGTGGTAGAATGCTGAGAAAAAAATGGTTTGGGTGTGACAAGTATTTGTAGGAAAGTCTAATAGGAAAATAATTCTCGGTTCTCCCTGTGCTGCAAACAGGCTATGGAAGAAAAATGGGGTTTAATTGTGTTGAAGGTATTTAAAGGAAATTTTACGAGGAGTGGATCTTCGTTTTCCTTCTGTGATGGATGTTATGAACGAAGGGTTTGTGCGGATGTGCAGTTGAATGACGCGGCAGGAAGTCGTAAAGCATATGTAGGTTTACATTGCTTCCTCGGAGACAGCGTGGAAGGACGTGCGACGTGGAGGGACCTGAGGGACGTCCGATCCTGGCGAATATGGCGGACTCAAGGATCGTTAGGACGTCCTGTGAGGATCTCCGACACGAAGGAAGTCCCTTGTTTGATAAAAAAAATAATGGAAACGGAAGGACATGCGGCGGAGGAGAGCAGCGGCGGCTTCGAGGGTGTGCGCACTTAGCAGTGGGGGAGGGAGGGAGGAAGGGTGGAGGGTGAGGAGAGGAGGGTGTGAGGGGGAGGAGAAGAGGAAGAGGAGGAGAGTGAGGGGAGGGAAGGGAGGAGAAGAGGAAGAGGTGGGAGAGGGGGAGACGGGAAAGAGGAGGGAGAGAGGGGGAAGGGGGAGGAGAAGAGAAAGAGGAGGGGAGCGGTGATAGAAGGGAAGGGGAGGAGAAGAGGAAGAGGTGGGAGAGGCGAGGGGGAGGGATAAAGAAAGGTGGGAGGAGAGGGGTGGAGAAGGAGCGAGGGAGGAGAAACTGGAGGGAGGCCTCGTTGCCGTCTTGGAGGTGACCTTGCGGGTACTCGTGGGGGGTGGCGGAGGGGGAGTGGGTGCGGGAGGGAGGCGAGAGGGGGAGGGTATATGGGTGGATGGGTGAGTGGGAAGCGATCGGGTGTGGATGGGCGGGAGCATGGCGGTAGAGTGGGGGGGGGGGGGGAGAGGAGGTAATGAACACCGCTCTACCAAACTCTTTCTTGCAGAGTCACCGCGGCAGGGTAAGCGAAGGAGACACGTAGGGATGGGTGAGAGAGGGAGGGGAGGAGGGGAAGAGCGGGAGAAAGAAGGGAGGGGGAAGGGAAAGGGAAGAGGAGTTTATGGGGATGATTTTGCCTTTATCCATTCCGTTGCCTACTGGTTTTGCGCACTTGGGATGACCTTTTTCTCAAGTTGTTTTGTTTTCTTCTGTGCTTTATAGAAGTCCAAATCAAGAATCAAACACGCAGATGGATGCCATTTCTCACTCGTCCGGCTGCCTGCTCGCAAAACACGGGAGTAATGGCCGGTTTGTTGAAATTGTGCGAGGTCCGATCCAAAGAACATTCGTGTACTTGACATGCATGAATAAAGAAATAAATGCATATTTATCAGTCTAGACATGCATATCAACCGGGCAAATAGGTAGATAAATATATATCTGCCAGATATATAGACAGATATGTATTTATTTCTGTGTATGTGCATGTCTGTATTTATAAGTGTTCAGTGGGTCAGGCTTCGCACAATTTGAACAAACACGGGATTAAAAGCTTGGTGTTGGTGCACGCCGACGACCGTGCGCTCCTCCGTCTGTCCATTTTGAAATCAGGACGAAAATGTATCCTTCTTGGGAGTCATATCCTTCGATCGTTGCCATGAGTGCTGCTTAATCCTCACGTAGGGGACCCCACGCATCCTTCTTGTCGTTTCCGATTTTGTTTCTCCCGTTTCCAATATTTTTTCTGCCGTTTTGGAAAGAGAATTCGTCCTTATTTCCTCCGTGTTTTAGATCCCTACGAAAAAGCACGAGAAATTGACGATCGGAATATGCGTCGTCAGTGCCGGTTCGTTTCGCAAATTTGCCCATTAGTCGAAGTCCTTTTAAATTGGCCGGAGTCTTAGTCGCCAAAGTAAATATCTCCGCCAAAGTTCTTTCCTCTCCGCCAAAGCCAGCTCCTCTCTTTCCTCTTCTTTTCTTTCTTTCCTCTTCCTCTCTTCCTCTTTCTTTTCTTTCTTTCCTCTCCGCCAAAGCCAGTTCTTTCCTCTCCGCCAAAGCCAGCCTCTCTTTCCTCTTTCTTTTCTTTCTTTCTCTCCGCCAAAGCCAGCTCCTCTCTTTCCTCTTTCTTTTCTTTCTTTCCTCTCCGCCAAAGCCAGCTCCTCTCTTTCCTCTTCTTTTCTTTCTTTCCTCTCCGCCAAAGCAGCTCCTCTTTCCTCTTCTTTTCTTTCTTTCCTCTCCGCCAAAGCCAGCTCCTCTCTTTCCTCTTTCTTTTCTTTCTTCCTCTCCGCCAAAGCCAGCTCCTCTCTTTCCTCTTTCTTTTCTTTCTTCCTCTCCGCCAAAGCCAGCTCCTCTCTTTCCTCTTCTTTTCTTTCTTTCCTCTCCGCCAAAGCCAGCTCCTCTCTTTCCTCTTTCTTTTCTTTCTTTCCTCTCCGCCAAAGCCAGCTTCTCTTTCCTCTTTCTTTCCTCTCCGCCAAAGCCAGCTCTCTCTTTCTCTTTCTTTTCTTTCTTTCCTCTCGCCAAAGCCAGCTCCTCTCTTTCCTCTTTCTTTTTTTCTTTCCTCTCCGCCAAAGCCAGCTCCTCTCTTTCCTCTTTCTTTTCTTTCTTTCCTCTCCGCCAAAGCCAGCTCCTCTCTTTCCTCTTTCTTTTCTTTCTTTCCTCTCCGCCAAAGCCAGCTCCTCTCTTTCCTCTTCTTTTTCTTTCTTTCCTCTCCGCCAAAGCCAGCTCCTCTCTTTCCTCTTTCTTTTTTTTCTTTCCTCTCCGCCAAAGCCAGCTCCTCTCTTTCCCTCTTTCTTTTCTTTCTTTCCTCTCCGCCAAAGCCAGCTCTTCCTTTCTTTCCTTCTCCGCCAAAGCCAGCTCCTCTCTTTCCTCTTTCTTTTCTTTCTTCCTCTCCGCCAAAGCCAGCTCTCTTTTCCTCTTCTTTTCTTTCTTTCCTCTCCGCCAAAGCCAGCTCCTCTCTTTCCTTTCTTTTCTTTCTTCCTCTCCGCCAAAGCCAGCTCTCTCTTTCCTCTTCTTTTCTTTCTTTCCTCTCCGCCAAAGCCAGCTCCTCTCTTCCTCTCTCTTTCTTTCCTCTCCGCCAAAGCCAGTCCTCTCTTTCCTCTTCTTTTCTTTCTTTCTCTCCGCCAAAGCCAGCTCCTCTCTTTCCTCTTTCTTTCTTTTTTTCCTCTCCGCCAAAGCCAGCTCCTCTCTTTCCTCTTTCTTTTCTTCTTTCCTCTCCGCCCAAAGCCAGCTCCTCTCTTTCCTCTTCTTTTCTTTCTTTCCTCTCGCCAAAGCCAGCTCCTCTCTTTCCTCTTTCTTTTCTTTCTTTCCTCTCCGCCAAAGCCAGCTCCTCTCTTTCCTCTTCTTTTCTTTCTTTCCTCTCCGCCAAAGCCAGCTCCTCTCTTTCCCTCTTTTCTTTCTTTCCTCTCCGCCAAAGCCAGCTCCTCTTTCCTCTTCTTTTCTTTCTTTCCTCTCCGCCAAAGCCAGCTCTTCTTTTCTTTCTTTCCTCTCCGCCAAAGCCAGCTCTCTCTTTTTCTCTTTTCTTTCTTTCCTCTCCGCCAAAGCCAGCTCCTCTCTTTTCCTCTTTCTTTCTTTCTTTCCTCTCCAAAGCCAGCTCCTCTCTTTCCTCTTCTTTTCTTTCTTTTCCTCTCCGCCAAAGCCAGCTCCTCTCTTTCCTCTTCTTTTCTTTCTTTCCTCTCCGCCAAAGCCAGCTCCTCCCTCTTTCTTTTCTTTCTTTCCTCTCCGCCAAAGCCAGCTCCTCTCTTTCCTCTTCTTTTCTTTCTTTCCTCTCCGCCAAAGTCAGCTCCTCTCTTTCCTCTTCTTTTCTTTCTTTCCTCTTCGCCAAAGCCAGCTCCTCTCTTTCCTCTTCTTTTCTTTCTTTCCTCTCCGCCAAAGCCAGCTCCTCTCTTTCCTCTTTTTTCTTTCTTTCCTCTCCGCCAAAGCCAGCCTCAGTCTTTCTTTCCTCTCCGCCAAAGCCAGCTCCTCTCTTTCCTCTTCTTTTCTTTCTTTCCTCTCCGCCAAAGTCAGCTCCTCTCTTTCCTCTTCTTTTCTTTCTTTCCTCTTCGCCAAAGCCAGTTCCCAGCGATTAAATACCGGGCCGGGCGATTAAATACCACGGGGAGGTTTTCCTTGGGTTGTCAAGCCGCGATGAAAGCCAGGCGGCTTAAATGCTGCGGGTATCGAGGGTATGCCGATAGAGAGAGAGAGAGAGAAAGAGGGAGAGAGGGAGAGAGACACACACACACGGAGAGAGAGAGAGACACAGAGAGAGACACACAGAAAGAGAGAGAGACAGAAGAGAGAGAGAGAGAGACAGAAAGAGAGAGAGAGAG